CTTTTCTTGATTTTCTTTTTGTGGTTTGTGTCAAACTCGATAGTAATTGGTGGGGCTTCTGTGTATTCATCCTAAGAACTTGATTATTCAGGTTGTTGGAAGATAAATTTAGTTTCTTTACTATGAATTGCTGTCTTTAGTAACCTCTGTTCAGTATTTAGTTCTGCAAAAGGGTTGTCTTTTTTATTAATTTTACTGATTGAAGTTGAACTGAGATTGTGATTTGAAGTTGGAGATTTTTCTGATGTTTAATCTGTGTTTTTTTCTCTGTGTTAATTCAGAAAAATGTGAGATGGATGCTTGTGTCATTGCTTACTTGACTTCGGATATCCTTTGAAATCATTTTTATTGCTATACTTTTATTATTCTGAGTTAAAAAGATTATTTTTTAAAAAAAATTGACTCAGTGCTAGTTCAGGGAAACTTGAGATAAATAATGTTGCCATCCTTACTGGTTTAATCCTCAAACATACTTGACGTTGGATGTTCCTTGTTTTAGTTTGTATCGCTATACTTTTTTGTTCCAATATCTATGTTAATTTGGAGAATTTGAGAGCGTGACATTCTCGTTATTTCATTTTTTTCTCCTTTCACAGGGTTTTGACGAGTACATGAACCTACTGTTGGATGAAGCTGAAGAAGTAAGCATCAAGAAGAACACTAGGAAACAACTTGGTCAGTTTATCCTTGACTCACTATTTTTGATGACCGAGCCGAGCTTCTTCAGATCTTGTCTGATGCTAATGCTTAACTTTCCAGATGATGTAAGAGAGCATAGGCTTAAGGAGATGGCAGAGAAAGCTAGTGGTGGTGGTGGTGTAGGTGAAGCTGAACACGAAGAGAAGAAAGAGACGTAGAGCTGTAGATTTTGGTTTATTAAGTTTTGTTTAAATTTTTTAGTTATTAAATTTTTGGTTTATTTAGGTTTGGTTAATTAGGTTTTGGTTTAATTTTATAGGTTTAATGTATAAACTGATTTTATTTGTAAACAAAGTTTAATTACNTAGAGACGCTATTAAAAAAATTTACAATTGCATAAACGAAAACGCTATTACTAAAATAATATCAATAGCGGATAACAAAACCGCTATCTAATGGACCAGACCTATTATCGCGGGCGATGTTGGAGCGCTTTCTACAACGCTATGGTATCGTACGATAGCGATTTTCGGGTGCTGTTAAAACCCTTATTTCTTGTAGTGGTTCCTCCCGATTTGCAGGTGCCGCTGAACGCACCCTTTGCGGTGTACACGGTGGAGGATATTTTGGCCCTTCCAGGCAGAGAAGGGCTGGCAGAATTAGATCCTTACCGACGGGACGGCCAAAACATATTATGGTATGTTTTAATTTTTAAAAAGTTTTTTAATTTATTTCTTAATTAACAAAATATTTAGAAATTAATCTAATTAATGATTTATTTTGTGTCTTTCCAGGTTTGGTCTTGACAATTGTGTCGGATCTAGCGTCACAGACTGTATCAAGAGATACTTTCCCGATCCAGCTCCAAACTGGAAGATGACGGCGAGCCACACAAAAAAGACGTGGTTCAAATCGTTCGCTGTAAGTTGAATTTGTTAATTTATTTTTAATTCTTTAAAATTATTAATATAATTGAACTAATCCGTCTTTTATTTTTTCTGGTTACAGCAAAAGTATCGTTGGTCTATTGGGATTCACCAGCGAGTGAAGAAGGAGTTTGAGGCCAAGGGAAGAGCACGATTGCTCGACATGGTCTACAACTGGAAGGGCGACTATGAGGTATAGATTTATAAATTATAATATATATATAGTTTTAAAAATATTATATATATATATATATATATATTGACTTTAATTCTAATTTTTTTTTTAAATCAGGTGGATGGTTACGAGGCCGGGAAACCCGATTGCCTCACAACCACGGTGTGGAATGGCCTCATCAGCTATTGGGGGTTGCCGGACTCGGTCAGAACCTCCAACACAAACTCCGGGAACCGCATGACCAAAGACGAGCATGGCAACACGAATGTGCTTCACACCACGGGTCAAAAATCTCACGGGGGAGTTCGTCTAGACATGGTAAGATGATTTTTAATAACAATTTAATTTTTATTTTATTTGAATATTCCAAATTAATATTTAATTTTATAAATTAATTTTAGGCTAAGGAGACATGAGTTCTTCCATCTCTGAAAGACCTTTACGAGAGGACCCACCGGAACAAGGCTGGGCAGTTTGTACATCCTGCTTCCGAGCGGATCTACAACAAGCTTGTTGCCCGAGTTGACGAACGCCAGACCCAGCTGACTCAGCAGACTGGGTCTCCAGTCATATTATCCACTGTTGACGTGGATAAGATTTACGAGGAGGTAAATAATTTGTTTTACTATTAATTTTTAATATTTTTTAAATTTTTCTTAATGTTATTAATATTTTATTTTCAGGTCGCCCCTAGGAAAAAGGGGCGTATCATCGGGATTGGCTCGGTTAACGATGTCAATGCTCAGCTGCGCTCGGAGTTGCAGGCGACGCAGTCTCATGTGACTTAGCTCACCGAGCATGTCACTTCTCTCACCGAGCATGGCGGTTGGAAACCCGCATGTGCAGGAGATGTTGCGTCAGAGACGGAAACGTGCAGGGATTCCAAGTACCCAACAGCATCCACCATCACAGTCACAGCCGGCAACCAACTATGGAGAGGATTTGCCGAGCCAGGACGACGACCAGTTCGTTCAGCAATTTCACGACCAGCATCCGTAGTTTTTTTTATTTTTAATTGTATATTATGAATTTAAAAACTTTTTGTATATTATTTAGTTATTTATAAAATATTTTGTTTTTTATTTTTTTATTTATAATTTGATTTTTTTCTTATTTTTTATTTTAATAATTATTTGTAATTATTTGTTTTAATAGGGAAAAAAACATTTCCAAGCAAAATCCTCGTAAAGTATTTCAAGTAATGTCCTCGTAACGAGTTCTAGTAATTTCCTCGTAATATATTACTACGACCTTACGAGAAAATACTTACTACGAGCTTACGAGGAAAGCTTACGAGGACCTTACGAGGAAAATATTACCAGGCCTTTACGAGGAAACCTTTGCTCGTAAATTCGCTAGAACCTTACGAGGAAAATGGCTTTACAATGAACGTGTTTCGAGGAAACGCGTTTCCTCGTTATTTCCTAGTAAAAGGCCATTTACTAGGAAATAACGAGGAAAATCCGTCCTAGTAATGGACGAGTTTTCTTGTAGTTATTGAAGCATTATCTTATACCTATCGTACTTTCTACTCTTATATAGTTAAAATGGTGAGTTTACAAAATAAAATATATAAAAG